TGTTGAATCAAGGACACATCTAAAACCTGCAGGACACCAGCACTCGAGGCCTGGAGTTGCCTACCCCTGGTCTAAACCAAGCCTATAGTAGCTATCATTACTATATTAAACATGAATAATATAGGTTATGAATGTTGCATAAAAGGATATTTATTTCTAAAAGAAAATGTAATATTTGGGGGAAACAAGTGAGATGGTATAGCTAGATTAGATGAATAATTTAACTATTTCTTTTCACTGTTATGATCTGTTTTAATTTAATAGTCTGTTATAATTTCATGGAGCCCTATCCTAGAAGCTTGCACTAATCTAATATGACAGTGCTGTTGCTCCATTAAATAATGAAGAGTGAACAAGTCCTCTAAATGTAAAATAAATAGGCAGATTTACCTGGATTTCTGCATTAATTGGTAGCAAAATGTGGTCTGGTTTTAATCTTTGTCACAATAGCAGACCACATGCTGGTTAAACTAGGAACACATGAATGGCTTTACTTTTAATGTTTCTGTTGAGCACATTATATAATTACCCAAAATGCTGACTGGAAATGTGAACCCTTGAATTAGTAACTTGTTGAGACTCCTGAAGCAGCAATAGCCTCCATCAAACGTTCCCTGACAAATTGGCTTGGCCCATCAGTTTTCTGATGGAACTTTGGCTTGCATTTGAAGACAGTTTCACAAATTTCTAAGCAAAGTTAACATCAACAGTTCACATGAGGGCACTGAAACTCCTAGGGGATTGCCATAAATGTTTGAAAAAAAAAGAAACACTTGGAATGTAGGAAATAAAAGTGTATGTCTCATTTCTTTTAAATCAAAGGTGGTTTGCATTTCCAGGCTATACTTAAGTGGGAGCTTGCTTGTTGGGATGCACTCATGTGGTCTCCATGTTTATGACAGGAGTGAAGTATGTGGTTCCGAAAGGTCACGCCAGAGTCACAGAGGAGTAATTGGTGTTAGCTGTCAGTGCGTTTCTTCCTCATGGGAAATGTCTCACTGACATAACAGGAAAGTCACTGTTTTTCTTTTCCTTTTTTTCTCAGAGTATATACTGTACTGAAGCACAGCTCTTCGAAGTGAAAATAGATGTCACCGTGCAGATATCACAATATGCAGCACCCTGTTATCTTTCATCGTAGAAATACAAACAAACCTACTTGAAGTCTTGAGTTTATGTGTGTGCAGAAAAAACAAATGGAGTTAATTTCAAAAAGAAATACTAAACATTTCCCCTGGCTGTAATCACAGCCCACAAGTAAAAGAGACCTTTCATGGAGGTTTCGGAATTTTTCCAAGACATATTTGTGTGCGCCTTTTCTGTCTGCAACACTATGGCTAGCTTCCAAGGTACACAGTCTGAAAGTCTGTTCGTTTATCCCCATACCTAACCTGGCTGACCTGTGAGACATCAGCTTTGCCTCTGTGTCTCACAGGTCCGCCAGGTTTAGGGAAATGGGCAAAATAGAAGCCTTTCCTGCAACCGTTTAAATAACCTGTTTTATAGAGCGGTATGAGAAATGTGTTTCTCAGCTGCTGGAAACATCATCCCCTGGCAGCACTGTGCTCCAACATCTTCTTGCTTCAAGCCAAGAACAAGAACAGGGAACACCTGTGGTTCAGAATAGTCATCCCTTGCCTCTTTACAGTGATTGACGTGAAACTCTTTCTTTCAAATGTTTCTAGGTTTTGTTGGGTGACATAGCATTTGGAACTGTTTGGAAAAAGCAAGACAGGGCATTATTTCCACTTTCTATCAGGACTTTTACGTCACACTAATACTGGAATGGCTGTGATGACGGAGCCGCACAGACTAGACAGAGATGAGAGCGAAGTCTAAGCTAAGTCACACTGACGGTAAAGGGATGGAAAAGAGTTGCAATGAGCTTTCTGGACAAATACAGCTCTAGAACAGGACCTACCATGTGAACTAGTTCCTTACTTGACAGTAGAGCTGGGCGATATAAGATTTTTTTTATATCACGATATGTTTTTTTTTTCATTTCAGGCGATAACGATATATATATCACGATATAAGCCAAATAACTATATTTGTAAGATTTAAATGTGCCGTTGCTCACAAGTAAAATGTGAAATAATCAGCAACTTGTTTTGATTTAAATATTTATTTCCCATAATAAGTTCAACTGATGTAAGGAACATGAGACTTTTTCAGATAAATAAAGGCAAATATTGCAAACTACACAAAGGGCAGCCGCTAAAGCGTTTAAGTTTCAAAACAGAACAAACAAAACAGACTACTAAATTGTCAATTCCACTTAGAAACAAAATATTAATTCTAAAAATAAATCTTAGTTTGTTTTACAGAAGAACAGACAAAATTAAGTAACTTTTGTCAATATCAAATAAACTGAGAACTAAAAGGAAATTCTCAATCTCTCCTTGTTGTATAGCTTAGCTTTTCAAACAGTTTTAACAGTTACTTTAGTCTGACAAAAGCCAAATGACGAATCAGCGCTTCCAGTCAGAGATTGACTGAGTTTATTGTATTTCCAGACTTGCTTTCAGCACAATTTACAGTGCGCGCTACTCTGTTTTTTGTCAGACTTGAAATAGCCGAAATACCTTCACACTACGGAACTTCTGTGGCTCTTCCGTTCAACAATCTCTCCGGCATTGGAACATTATCTGTTTTCTCTTCGGTAACCTTCGGTCACGCTCTCGGTTGATTTTTCTCTAGTCGGCACACTCATTTCCTCCATTACCCAGGCGGCACGGCGGCTGGCTGCTTCCAAAACAAATACACATGTGCGGCTAGGCACTTGTGCTGTACGTAACAAGTCACGTGACGTGATGCTGCGGCTGTGATTGGTTCGGCTCTGCGCTAGTTAATTTGGATTGGCTGTTCTTTTTTTTTCTAAGAGGACAAGAGAGATGAGGTCTATCGCAATAGTTTAACTTTTCTATCGAGAAAAAGTTATTTCGCAATACATATCGTTATCGTTCTATCCCCCAGCTCTACTTGACAGCATGTTTAATTTTACATTAGTTTCTGAGGTTTGTTTACATATATTCAGTTGTTTGTGTTTTTTGTTCACATAGTGAGAAGTAGTAGATAGCTGTTAGTATGTCTGTGTCAGTTCGTCCCCAGTTAAACAGGCCTAGAGAATGGTTGGTGTCTCCCTAGCAACCTCCAGTCACTAGGGAAGCATGTGTACACCCCAACTAGTTGGCGAGGGGTCACTGGAGGTTGATGGCTGTCACTAAAAAATCAGTTGCTAAAACTCCAATTGGTCACTCAGACTTAGATACTGGTCTGTGGCCCCTGGTAACTACTGGTTACTTGGAAAAAGGTTTATTTACTGATCAGTCAGTGATTGATTGCCGAATGCTGCTGTCTCGCTAGGTGAAACTGGTCTCTGTGGTAGTGTTGCAGTCATCCACAGTTTGCTTAGAAGACACAGACTTGCCTGCAAACACTCGCTAACTACTAATAAAATGGTAGTGAAAATGTGAAAAGTGCAACACAAATGCAAATAAGACTGTTTGCCTTCAGAGTAAAAGCTGTGCCATACTGCTGCAGCCAACAAGTTTCAAAAGCAAAGGGTCTCTGTTTTACCTTTGTTTCACATTTTTTAAGTTACACTATCACTTGTTTGCAGACAAATCTTCTGTTTTCAGGGTAGTTGTTCAAATGTTTTAAAAAGCCCATGCTCCTCCAACTGTTCATTGTATGGGGCAAGGGATGGAACAGGAACTAAGGTCTCTGTATCTTAACATTGAACAAACATTACATTTTAAAAACTAGGGTTTCATAAACTGCATTTAAATTATATGAAATAAAAGTGAAGCAACAAATGTATCCATTTAACTTGTATCAGCTTTTTTTTTAGATCCACATCAAAGGACAGCCATGTAAGATTTATTTGGCCAAGATTAACAGGTCTCTCAAGATGAAAACGTGATGTCCTTTTTGAACTGTCTAATAATTTAACTCTTTATATGTCTAGTGAGGTTTGCATTGCAGTCAAAAAGACAAGAAAAAGATCAGTGATGATAATCGTGTTAAACTTTGCACTCCAAAGGAGAAATGGAAGCTCTTTAACTATGTTCTCGGGCAGGCTGCATTTTTGAGTTAGGTCCTGTGGAAGCGTTTATAAGTCCCAGATATCTACTCTTTCCCACTCCCAATTCCACTTGCCAATTTCCAATAAATATTTTACAGGGGTTTAATGGAACTTTGTGCTGTATATTAAACAGAGGATAGTCTGGTTTCCATATTTGAAAAGCAGGAATAGTTCTCAAATAGTCATTTAAAACCACATAAAAGCATCATTAACTTTTTTGTTAGCTTGTCTGATGGCTAGCACAGAACAGCACATTTTAAAATGTAAGCTAGGAATTAATTAGTTTCCCCCCTTTATGTTGTAATAGCATTTCATGAAAAAGATTTAAAGATGTGTGGTTCCCCCCCCCCCACACACACACCTCGTTTTACAAAGCATGACAGAACAAGTGAAAACTAGCTCAGTGAGTTGAGCTTTTGAGGAATCCAGACACACTACTGTGAAAATTTGCATTTGGTTAACCCTTCTTCAGACCTCAGTTTTCAGCACTCAAGGCCACTAGAAATATCCTGGAGGTTTGTGGGAGTTCTTCTATCCCAAAAAGGAAGAAATTATTTTGTCTGTCTTTGAAAATACACTTCCGTTTTGGGATCAAACTAAAACTACAGTAGTCCCTCCTAATTTCAGACATAGGTTTGCTTAACCAAATAGTTACCAGTATGTTGACATAGGTTTGAGGTTTACAACGATCATGGTCCACAAAGAAGTGGGAATCTCAATGCATATATTTAAGCTTAGAAAAATATACACATTTTTGTGGATATCCTTCGATGAAAGCCAAAAATTTTGCAACCTAATATGTCTTCTGTAAGAGTATATCCCTGCATCCCTGTAATTTCACAGGAAAGAAAGCATTTGATGACTTAAGGTCAAAATAAGGAATATTTAACGTTCTTTTTTTCCTCTTTTTCAGAGAAATTGCTCGTCTTAACTGTTGCAACTGAGGAAACAGATGGTTTCGTCCGCTTCATGAGGTCTGCTGACTATTTTAACTACACTGTGAAGGTAAAACTTTCTTTTTAAATTTTGAAATGACTGCATATTCACAAATCCAGAGTTAAGGGCACTGCACTGACACACACAGCAGCAAAATGTTTTAACACAAACTTCCCTGGATTGATTGCACTTATTAAAGGAAACAATGGAGTGGAGCAAGCTGCAAAAACATTCATGGATAGCGTTTAATCTGGGTCCAGAATTCCCCTCTGTGGTTGAAACAATTGCAAAAAAACGCTTTTTCCTTCTTTTTTTTTCTTGCTCAGGGTTCAGTTCATGCTCTGCCCTCATTTGTATGCTTATGCGTGTAATTGTGCTGCACCAGTTTGTTTTTGTTCTCCAGGCAGACATTTTCAAGATACTTTGTAAGCCTTTTGGGCCAAGCCAATCCATTTTAGTGGTTTGAACTAAGTTAAGTTCTTCTTGTGTATTGTTTCTTATTATGTGTTTGCTTATATTGTTTCTGCAAAATGCATACGATAACTTCTGTACAGAAAGCTCATAAAAAAGATTAGTAAAAAAAAGAATATCCAGAAAATGTAATTGTATCTCAGGAGTTTTACCTGTTACTGATGGTTATTATGCTAGCTTAGGCTATTATAGTATTATAGTATCACACTTGCGTTGTACGGGATCAGGCTGCAGAGTAAACATGGCTCCCGGATCAGTTTTGCACATGTTGTTATCAAGAAGGAGGGCTAGATGGATGTTTCTGGGAAAGGAATGCAACCAGACAGTTTACAGTTGTACACAGCTGGGAAGAAAAAAAACTCTCAGAGGCTTTAGTCATACTGATCAACTTCACAAAAGTGATGGAGCTGCCACTTAAGAATCCAGAAAACTCTTAACATGCTTTTTTGTCTACTGGGGCATTTTAAGGCTTGCATGCTCCGGATGCAGCGCTGGTTCTCATCACAAACACTATGTAAGATTAAAACATCAGCTGTCTTGCAACGCTCCCATTTTCATTCCCATCAGACAATGATTCCCTGTGTCCTCCAAATCGAGCCATAAGTGGGCTGATATCTGTAGCAGTTGTGTAGACTGAACACAGCGTAATAAGCTCTTCAACTGAGCGATATTAACCCATCAGCTTTAAAGAATTTGAATTATTTTATTATTAATCAAGTAACCAATCTGACTGTGCATTTTAGAGTTGTTGTTTTTTTTTTTGAAAACTATACAAAATAAAACTGACAGACAAGGCAGGGCTGCAAGGCCATTTTTGGTGTCGAGAGGGTTTTGGGACTCATTCTGTGTTATGTTTTAGGTGTTGGGAATGGGAGAGGCATGGAAGGGCGGCGATGTGGGTCGTTCTATTGGTGGAGGGCAAAAAGTCAGACTACTGAAGAATGCCATGGAGGCTCTGGCTGATCAGGAGGATCTTGTTGTCCTCTCTGTGGATAGGTACGTTCTGTTTTTTTCTGAAATTTTCTTTAATATTCAGATTCATTTTCTGTTAAATAAACACATTTAATTACATGGGAAAATATATAAAAAAAATATGTCTGATTGGCTAAATTTATTTTAATCTAAGCCTTGACAGATGTAAGATATGCAGAATATTCCCAATAGACATTTGTGAGACAGATGTGCAGACAAGCAAAAGCCTTTATTCTTATTATATTTACAGTCAATAAATATAATAAATTTTAAAAAAAGAATAAGTTATTTGATCATGTGCTTTTGCTTCCTTACACTATATCTTTGTTATTTCAGTTTTTTGTTGTTGCTCAGCTTCTGTTTAACCATCAGCTTTGATCTGATTTATGTTTTCTGTTTCAGTATAAAAAAGAGATGCAAAACACCTTTAATTGCTACGTAGAGCTATAAATGAGATATTGTAACTAATTTTCACAATCACAGAGCATAATAATTGCTTTGAAAGCCTTATTTCCTGAGTGAGAGGTGTTTCTGCATATTTACGTGTGCTCCACTTCTTCTTGTAAAGGCATTATTATAGAGCAATACCAAACACATGAGGAGAATAATTCTCCCATGCAGGTAGGTGAATTATGAGTTTTGCAGTCAAATGGAAAGTTTCACTGAGTAAATGTGAGTGGTTAAGAATAATAAGAGCTTTGCATGCCACGTTTCCTTAAATAGAGCAACAGACGATGATACTTGCCATACCATGTGACATGAATAATGTTCACCATAATTACTGTGCAGAGCTGTCACACCCTTGAAACAGGTAATTGGAATGTATTTTTTTTCCTTTTAGAGGAAGTGATTGTAGTATATTCAACTGCCTCTGCATTTCAGAGGATTAGGAGCCAGTTAAATGTAATTTAACATCTATAATCCTGCTAGACCACCTCGGGTTTTTTGACAGTTTCTGCCTTCGCTACAATCACAGGCCTATATTTTGTCTTCTGATGAATTTAGTCATTAAACTGTAATTCACTGTGTTTTTGTGCGTTTTAAAAAATGTGCTGAATTTTCAAAATCAAAACGCCTACATGCATTTAAAAAAAGACATGCATAGATAGAAGTAATCACTTCAGTGTTTCACGTTGCACAATATAAATTGATAAATGTGTTTTCTCACACCTTTGTAAAGACAGGACGGAATGGTTTTTCCATTTTTAAATTCATAAGACAGGAGAATAACACGTTTTCTGTAATTGCTGCATAACTATGTCCAGATGTTCTTTTTACTGGGTACTTTATTATTGTTCAGCCGCTCATTAGCACAAATATCAAATCAGCCAATCACATGGCTGCAACTCAGTGCATTTAGGAATGCAGACATGGTTACAACAATGTGCTGACGTTTAAAGTGAGCATCAGAATGGGAAGGAAAGGTGACTTTAAACGTGGCAAGGTTGTTGGTGCCAGACAGGCTGTTGTATTTTAGAAACTGCTGATCTAATGGGATTTTCCCACACAACCATGTCTGGGTCATACAAAGGTCCAAAATAGAGGTCAGAGAAAGAGAAAATATCCAGTGAGTAGCAGTTCTCTGAATGAAAATGCCTTGTTAATGCCAGAGATCAGAAGAGTCAACAGAACCTCGAAATGATCACTGGTAACAACCAAGATGTGCAAGATAGCTTCTCTGAATGCGCATAATGCGGAACCTTGAAGCATTTGGACAACAGCTGCAGAAGACCACACTGGGTGTCACCCAGTGAGGCCACAATTTGCAATGGTTCAACAAATTTGGAAAACAAATTAATGACATGCTTGATATCTTGATTTCTGGTGCAACATTCAGATAATAATCGTGGCTCAGGGGGTTGGGAAGCGCATCTGTAACCGGAAGGTCGCCGGTTCGATCCCCGGGCTCTCTGTCCTGGTCGTTGTGTCCTTGGGCAAGACACTTTACCCTACTGCCTACTGGTGTTGGCCAGAGGGGCTGATGACGCGATATGGCAGTCTCGCTTCTGTCAGTCTGCCCCAGGGCAGCTGTGGCTACAACCGTAGCTTACCTCCACCAGTGTGTGAATATGAGAGTGAATGAATAGTAGCATTGTAAAGCGCTTTGGGTGCCTTGACAAGCACTATATAAATCCAATCCATTATTATTATACTAGAGTCCGAATTGGGTGTAAATAACATCCCTTTTACCAATGGTTCAGGCTGTTGGTGCAGTAATGGGGCACAGAATATTTTCTTGACATACCTTGGCCTCTTTAGCACCAATGGAGCATGATTTAAATGCCACAGCCAACCTGAGTATTGTAACTGAGTGAACCCATTTTCTGATGGCAACACACCATGTCACAAAGCTCAAATCATGACAATGTTATTGACAAATTTTCTACTTACTTCATGGTAAGTAGGTAACAATAGAGCACCTTCGAAATGGGATATTTACATCGTGGATATTTAGGTATCACGTGAATATGGACCAAAATCTCTAAGGAATATTTCCAGCACCTTGTTTAAGCTATGTTAGATACTGGTTACATTCGCCTGCTAGTTTGTGTTGATGAGTCTAGCAACCTAAAACAATTCTTGGTACCAGCAGTTAATATTCACTAGTTAATATTACACAGTGTTCAATAACACCAAAGTTTGGAATTGTAGCAAAACAATTTGGCATTTCACTACAGTGATGGTTAATTAAACATCATGAAAAGACATTTGAGTAAGTTTAGGTAAATACGAGAAATACAGAGAAAGAAATCTAAAAGACAATTGTTTTAATGGACAAATTTGTCTTTTGCACCTTTCTTGGTTTGCAAACTACATGAATAGTTACAATTGTTTTGCAATTGCTTTGCTTGGCATGGTGATAAACTGTCATTGCACAACTCGAGCTATTATAAAAAATGGGATTTAGTTCATGTCAAATCCCCACAAGTACAGACGAGTGTGGCTTCATCACAGCCACATCTATTAGAAAATATTTATTAAGCAATTATTTTGGGAATGGTGTCACTAAAATGAATCGCCTCTTTTATTGTTATGATTTCACACCTCCAAGTAATAAAATCACCAGAAATATTACGATTTTCCACATACTAAAACATCTGACCTTTGGGTAATAGCATACTTTTAAACAAGTCACCATGAGGCTTATGTAATGAGGTGGGCATTTTCCCCTCAGTCTGGCGCAGAACTGTATAGGCCATGCATGCATCAGCACAGTTAAAGTGCTTTTGTGTGTTGGTGGCTGACAAATCACAGCATTTTTTGAAATGCCTAGCAGTGCAATCCACAGTGCTTGGCTAAACAAGTGTTTCCACCTGAAGAATGTCTACTGTTTACATTGAGATGTTTATCAGTCTCAGGCAAGTAGAAGCCTAGCAGGTGTGTCAGATGTAAGATAAAAGATGTTGATGAAGTTGAAAGGTTAAATGATCTATTGCATTTCGCCTTCCCTCCTCCCTTTTAGCTATGATCTTATCTTTGCTGGGGGACCAGAAGAAATTCTCAGGAAGTTTCAGCAGGCCAATCACAAGGTGCTATTTGCTGCAGAGGGACTGGTATGGCCAGATAAACAGCTTGCTGACAAGTACCCCTTAGTCCGCACTGGGAAACGCTACCTCAACTCTGGAGGTAGGTTCTGAATATGAAAAGCTGCTTTGACTTGTTCAAGTCCAATCTCTGAGACTTTGGAGTAATAGTAACCATAAATTGTGGTTAAAGAAAGTGAGTTCAAAAGACTAGAATAGCTCTTCCCTAGAGGTACATCTACACAAAAAGCATTGCAACTTTGTTTTTTAATCCCGTGTTTGGCATGCATCTGACAGAAACAATTCACTTCTATTTTAACCAACCCAGCTGTCTGCACGAGCTGTATACCAGCTTGCATTTTACTCAAAGAAGAAAACAAAGATGTGAGGTCTTCTTTTCTGTGTTCTTAAATGCACAAGTAGAGGGATTGTATATTAGACTCAGCACAACTACATACTCTGCCTGAAGGCATTCTCTTTCTGCTGCTGCTCTGCACCTCCTGTGTAAACATAATGTTTCTAATTCAACCCTGTCACCCATGTTTTACCCTAAGTGACAAAATCCAGGCATCTCCAGAGAATAAAATGTATTAGTTAGGGTGAATGGTTCCTTGTGTTGGACAACTGGACGCTGCAAATCTGAAGGCAATATTAGGATCATTACGGCAATGGTTTCCACTGAAACTGGTTCCAATGTTACCCACTGTGTTTATGTTGTGTGCCTAGATATTTTATGCTTGACTGTAAACACATCTAGTTTCTATGTGAGCAAAGGGATTTTGAAATTCCACCATCAGCTGTCAAAGTTTGAAGACCTGTAAGCCTGGCTGGAATTCGGGAATTTAAGCCGCACTGGCCCTTCAGAGTTCTACAGTTATGAGAGGTGGAGAAGCTGCAAGACCTGCAGCCCAGTGTTAGTTTTAAAAATACAATACCACTTAATGTTTTTTTTATTATTATTATTATCTTTTGCTGCGAAATTCAACTATATTTCCTTGTAATCTTGCTCCGTCAGGTATTTCCTGTCTGCGGTACACTGGAGGTGGGTGAATCCCATGGCATACTGCGGTTTCTTTTCTTTAGTAATGATCCTCTTTGCTACATGAGGGGATGTGAATACACACCTGAAGATGTGAAATGAGAGAGGGGGAAGACAGTTCAGAATATGTGCACTCATGCAGACATTTTTAAGAAAGAAACAGTAACAGTATGCTCTCATATATAAGCCGTATGGCCTTGTCATTTGCATCCTGCCAGTTCTTCAGGACATTGAATTACTGCCTTCCTTGTGGTCATCAGTGTGGTCTGACCTCCCATATTGGAGCCCGGCTGTCTCAGACTGATCAGAGGCTGTTTTTAGCATTCATTGTCATTGACATGACATGTGGATTTGTCTTGGGCCCCTGAATGTGCCACAGTTTGTATAAAATTGTAGGCTTTGTTTGTGTTCCTAACGCTACCGCCCAAGTGACCATTGGGGAAAGTTTTATAGCATCTGGATGCATACTTTGTCACAGAGAGTCTAGTGTCTTTGAGATGCAGTCAAGATAGGGTTATGTTTGTGTGTGACTGCATGTGTTTATTTAAGTAGAGTGAGGGGTCACGCACACTAACAAAACTACTAATGGTTAAAGCTAATTACCTGAAATCCCTGGGATTTAGCCATTAAACCCTGTCTGTCTTAAAAACATGAAATATGATTTCTTTTGAACATTTTTCTCTCATTCCTGCCGCTTAGATTATGTCATGTCTGTCCATCGACTTGTTTACAGTGTCTGAGGCTTTTTTCAAATGATAGGATGCAAAATGGAGCAAACCAGCAACACAGCCAAACCCTGCAATCTGTTATTGTGGTCACTGTCCTTGAGCAACACAGTGAGAAAAAGAAGAGACGTGGGGGGGAAACTGGAGTAGAGATTGCCATGAGAATGTGCATTTATAGTGTGTAAGATACCACCAAATATAGTTTCAGAAACTCAGCTAGCAGTAAGTTGTGTTGTTCTAAACATAAAGATCCTTCTTACTACCCATTATTACTCTGAGGGAAGAGAAAGTCCCTAGCTATTTCTCGTGTGTGCTTGGGATTATTGCCAAAAGTCACACTCTGTGCTAAGACGTCCAGGCTTCCCAAGTATTTCGACCTACACCATGGAGCCAGTAGTTGTACTGTAATTGTCACCAACAGCCTACCAGCCATGTATACCCCTGTAAACATTTCTCACTCTATCTTTTACTGCTGGATTTGTGTTTCACACTGTTTATTACTTTCAGGTATAATTGGCTACGCCCCGTACATAAACAGAATAGTTTCACAGTGGAACCTTCACGATAATGATGATGACCAGCTCTTCTACACTAAAATATACCTGGACCCATTACAGCGGGTAAGTCCTGCCAAGAGAGCAAAGATTCTCTAAATCTGTGGCTTGGTTCATGTCTCCATTGTGTTTTTTTAACCACGGGCACAGTGACTTGATCGTGCCTGCATCAACATCTGCCATGTCTCAATTAGTAATGTAATGGGAGCTCCACAGCTTGGCAACAGGTTCAAATTGGATGTGGTTATTGCAATAAGAGAAGACAGACCCAGAAGAGTAAACTGTGCACCACTGAATCCCAATGGCAGCATCTTAATTTAAAACACATGTCTGTGTTTTAAATTATGGATAGCTATGGATGGCTAAATGTAGGTCTTTGTCTTCTTACAGGAATCTCTCAATATGACTTTGGACCACAAGTGCCAGATTTTTCAAAACCTGAACGGGGCTGTTGGTGAGAATTTAAAGATATTTTATTTTCTAATTGAATAATCTCTGAATCTTTATAATTTAAACTCTGTCTTGGATGTCTAAGTGGCAAAAAAACAACAACCAAAAAAAACACTTAAACCAACATTTGATGTTGGTGCTGCCGCCAATCTGTGGATTACTTTCAGTGAACATGTAGGATTTGCAGTTTATAAGTTCTAAATCCTCGCAGCTCTTGCCCATGTAGTATGTCAGCTTTCAAAATATGGCCTAAAATGTCTTGTGTTCCCCTTTTTGTTGGCAGATGAAGTGCTTCTCAAGTTTGGAACGGACAGAGTGAGAGTTAGAAACACGGCGTACGACTCTCTGCCAGTAGTTGTCCATGGCAACGGAAACACCAAAGTGAGCAAGAAATTGCAGTCAAGGACACACCTAATGTAGCCTACTTAAGGGACAGAACAGATACTTTTAAGATAATTATCCTGACCTATGACACTAACCTTGAATGTAATTATCAAACTCTTTCCTGCCATTTGCAAATGAGTTTCTGTTGGCCTTTTAGACTTTTAGATTTTATCCAGCAACCATTCATCACTGCTGCTGATGTTCTGTTCGTTGTATAAATTTGACTCTACTTACTGGTAACGTGATACTTGCTAGTTACCTAGACATAAAAGGCAGTGAATATAGCTACAATACTCTCATTTTGTTTTTGCCATCACTCAATTCTACATCATGGTGAGGAGCTGAGGAAACTAAAAAGCAGGATGCCCGCTATAATTCTGTTGATTTTTCTTCTGGTCTTTTCCTTCTCCTGTCTCATTTTCTGGCCAACTGTTTATGTTTGGTCTTCCCTGTTAAAGAACCAAACCCACCAAACTACTGAGTCATTCTTCCCAGAGGGCTCAACAGCTGAAAGAAAAGCTTTTAATGAGAGATCACAGTATGAGCTGACTAGCGAGTTGTCAGACCATTAGTTCATTTTATTTCCCAGTTATCTCGCCAAGTTGAGTTTTGTGACAGCTACATGATCATGGCGTTAACGTCTGCAATAACAGACTGGCAAACGGTAGCAACCAGGAAATTACACGTTCTCACACTAAATACAGAGCAGCAATGGTTGTGCTAACAATATGTTGAAAGTTATGAAGAATGATAACATTGTTGCCAAGCCTTGGCTTCTGTAGACGACACATCACTCTGTGGCCTTTAGTCTGACCTGCAAGTGAATGTGTCCAGTCATGACACAGTCGTACAATAAATCTTTACGTCCACAGTTGTATTCCAGGTTAGGATTTTCAAACATATCATAAGAATGTGACCTCAAATTATTTACTTTGAATGCTTTTTTCTTGCAGATGTACTTGAACTATCTGGCCAACTATGTTCCCAATGCATGGAACTATGAACACGGCTGTAGCCACTGTGATGATGACGTCGTAGACTTTTCTCAGTTAAAAGTAGGTGCACCAGACTGCTTTTTTCCATCTACTTGCCATCCTTTTTTAGTCTGCTTTGAAATAGCTGCTGTGGAAAGTTCTTCTTCAGCCTCTCTTCTGGACTCCGGAAAGATGACACATACAGCCCATTTCCCAACATCAACCACCCATGTATCACTGACTGTTTAGACAGTAGTTGAAGATCCCAGATTTTTTTCCGTATTTCAACAGATAAGCAATTCTGTTGGTACTCCACTGTCTTTCCAGCGATAATAGGTTATGTGCCCATTTCTGGACCATTTTAAAAGAGCATAAGTGCAAGGGGAACTACTTGGGCAAGAGGAAGCACTGCACATCTGCGGTGCAGGATATGGCTTTTGAGGTTTTCTGAAAGGCTCATTTAAAGGGGTGTCACTGTCGACCAGGCTGTCTTTTAGCATGCGCCGCACTGTGGGTTTTATCCACAATAGTAACTTACAGTGGTTGTACTGAAAATTTGTCACAGAGTTCAACCCAGGCTGGCAACGTATAGCCGGCAGGAATGGCAGGCAATAGGAAATGTCTTGCTGTGTGGTTACGTCTGTCAAGAATGGTGCCAAACTTTACTTCTGGGTCCTCTAGGCGAACACTGTAACCAACACAAGATCTCAGTTCACCTTTATTTATTTTTACCTTAAAACTAGTTTGAGGAAAATCTGTCTATTGTAGAGCAAAATGTGTTTTTACTGTTCACTAAAATTGATGTTTTCACATTACACAAATAAAATTGCTGTAATCCTACATGCTGCATGGATACACTTCAATAGTTTAACTGGAGCCGATTCAGTACAAACCAAGCTACATGAAAGGCATCACTGTGAAAGTTGCTATTGGTGACCTTCCACAGTGAATGAAGAAAACACTGCTCCTTCTCAATAATAGGCACATTAGAAAGGACATTTCATTCCACTGTGCCCCTTTGTTTATGTGGGACAGAAACTGGTGGGAGCTCAGGTCATGTGGAAAGTTTGGTCATACTGTCCAGGCCTTTCCTGTGGGGTAAACCCAGTTTGGAGGAGGTACTTGTTGGTTTTTAGTGTACTTGTGTTTTGAGATTGAACTTAAGCCCTGCAATGACACTGAGAGTTACACCACGAAAGACCAAACAATCCCACCCAGGCCACTTCATTGCTTTTCTTTAACTGTTTCTACTGTTGGGTGTTGCTTTTCTCTGCTATAAGAAATGCTAAGGGTAGCTTTTTGCTTTCGTTTCAATGTTTCTGTCTGCTCCTGCTTTTCTGTGACAATTTAAGCTCACATTGCCTTGATGGATGAGCTCCCATTCATGTGCCTAAAACACAGTCATTGCGGAACTTGCAAATTAGATGGTTCTTCTCGGATCTCTTTTCATCCTTGGCCCAGACCTTTGCCATGAACTGGTCAAGAGGATCAAGAGTCCAGACTGAGCTGTGTGGGCTGGAGCTGAGTGTCATGGGAAAGTCTTTGCTCTTCTCTTCTCTATTGCTTAATTTTTCCATTTTATCTTTATTTCCTCAACTTTCTGCGGAATCATTTTGTGCACGTGTTTGTACCGTGGTTTTGGTCACCCACTTCATTAGATTACAACATATCAGCTGGTCAGGATGGAAGATGTTCAGGAAATTAATGCGAAGGGTTTTGCAATGTGTTAACAACATATTTAAAATGTTAAAGCCAGCACCAAATTCTGCAAAGACAATAGTCAAGGCACAATTCTAAAGTCAAATCAAGAAAATAGAGTTAATGCAGTGACAGATGTATTGGCTTCATGGTTTGCTTATGTGAGAACTGAAATGTCAAAATCATCCATGATTTATTTTAAACAAGTCTTCCACTGCCAGGGACACTTTTATGAAATCTAAACAATATGTCTTTCTTTCGAATCTAAACAGGAGTATCCAAATGTGCTGGTTGGAGTATTCATTGAGCAGCCAACTCCATTTCTTCCTGAATTCTTTCAGCGACTGCTGACCCTGGATTACCCAAAGGATAAACTCAAACTCTTTGTCCACAACAATGTGAGTACATGCAGCTGCATGTGCAGTTTTTTTTTCCTTCCTAGAGCTCTACATGGCTCCTTACACAGTATGTGGTGTCTCTGTTAATCCATTAATATTGGCTCCCTGCTCAGGAGGTTTACCACGAGAAGCACATCCAGAGGTTCTGGGAAGAGAACAAGAATGTGTTCAACAGTTTCAAAGTTGTGGGACCAGAAGAAAATTTGAGCCAAGGAGAGGCCAGGAATATGGCAATGTATGTATAACTATTATAAATGTATCATTTCTCAGAATCTGAAGTTTCTTAGAATTTTTGAATGATTATAAAGGATATGGTGTTTTCTGACTTTGATTAACCATGCAATACTTTCAAAACCTCTAAACGAGTTTTCATGGTTTCTGTTTGGGAAAACGGTCATCTTTGTTGCTAGAAGCATGAATAATTCAGTGCATTCAAGGTCTGTATTAAGAATAACCAGAGAGACAAATACACCTTTGGTGCTGCTTTGTAGTCTTTCTGTATTAATTACTCATAAAATGTGGTCTTAGGTTCAGCTAAATCACAGATTTACAGATAAACATAATATGACTAAACTAATAACAGGCAAACAGTTGTAGTTTTTGCTTCTGAATATCATTCACAGTCAAACCTGGGAAAAGGTGCTAAGGAAACTGGAAATGTGGGCTGTGAGCTTCCCCTCTCTATCAATATAATTGCTTTTAGATAAAAGATGGTAGTAGGTGTCCACTCCTATTACAGAAAATAAAGTCGAGTTATTTAAGTCTTAGTAAGCTCTTTCTTAATGGGTTCATGCTCTAAAGTCTAAAGTTTTTTAACTATAACATAATGTTTATTTTGTAAATTATCGTTCTAAAGGATGTCAAGGCAGGGTATGTTTTATTGTAACTGTCAACCCTCTTCAGCATCCCAGTCAGGCTAAGGCCAGCAACTTGGTAATTCAAAAATATGAATTTTCTTAATTTTCAGCCATTCTAATGTTTTTGATTTTTTAAATTTTATTTTTAATTATTTCCTTCCTCTATCTGTGAAGCCTTAGACCCTATTTTTGAAAAGCAGCCCCAAACATAATGCTCCCTCTGCCATACTTTATATTTGGGCATGCTTGATTTTTAGCATGCAATTCCATTTTCCTTCTGACATTATGGATTTCTACAACTAAGTCTGAACTCTTCACATCTATCTACAATTCATCATAAAGGAATTGTTGTAGAAGGAAAACAATTATTTAAGGAGGACCAATCCAAAATGTCTTCTCATAGTTTAGCAGGTGTCATAAGCATCTACGAAGATCTGATGGAGACTGAGACTGTCCTCAAGAAGGTTGTAAATGTTGCTAAATTAAATTCATTGACTTATTTTTTTTCCAGGCTGCATTGTGACTGATTTAAAATCCTCGGCAATGTGTAAGGATTCACAAACACACACACTCAGGTGTAAACTGCAGCTTTATTTGGACCAAAATGTTTAGGCACAGCATGCCGGGAAGCATTGGTCAGCACAGCCCTGTAATGAAGAAGTCTTAGGTTTATTAGGAGTCTCTAATTTTCTGAAATCTCCTTATCCACTGGAGGTTTAAAGATAGCAAGAGTCAGACTCCACCATTGAAAATTACACCTTATACTTTGACGCTGATAAATCTAAAGCCGTGACAGTGATTAATTCCAAGCCTTTTATTGACCGTAATCAGCTCTGGGTTGGAAAACAAAAAATCATTTTCTCCGCCATGTCTGTGTTTTAATTTCATTAGGGATCTTTGCCGTCAGGATGCCACATGTGACTACTACTTCAGCATAGATTCTGATGTCATGCTGACCAACAGACAGACACTGAAGCTCCTCATTGAGCAAAACAGGTAATCACAAAGTAACTGGAATAGAAGCCACAACTGAGCCTGTTTGGACCTTCTTGGTAGATGTTGTGATCATTGAACCATTTAGTTTATCCCGCAAGTGGCAAAACCACAGGAACATTACAGCTGAGTGAATTAAAGTTTTAAAATAGGCTGCGTTGGCTTCCTGTTTTTCTCTGGCCACATGGATACAGCAAAAGAGTCTATTGAACTAACTCAGAAATGCCACTTTGCATTATACAAAAAACAAACATTCAACCTCTTTTTGCCCTTCTGCAGCTCACGATCTTAAAGAAACCTTCCCATAAACTAGATGTCACTGTGGCCGTGGCATGGTATTGTGACTGGCGTTTACGGATATTTAAAGACAGCATGGGAATTCTCAGCTGGCACAGAGGTTGCGGGAGCAAAAGTCCAATTTATCTCAACCAAGAAAGTTTACCATTAGCATACTGCAGTATATATACGAACCCACACTGTGATTTATGGTGGTGTTATTTTGCAAACTTTTTCCCAGTTTATTTAACAGAAAGAAAGTACACTTCTTTGAATTGAGTCCAGCATGACGTACTGGTGTGGTTCGAATCGTGGTTTTCTGTGATCTGTTTCTGACTTTGCAGTGTAATATAAAGTATACTATCCAGCTAGAGGTTGAGACTTTAGATAGAGGCCTTACCCCAGTGGCAAGTGGTCTGGTGCAATAGGTGGCTGCCTGCTTGGGAGATTTCACTGAGTTTTAACTGCCCTGACAGAGTTACCATCTCTTCACTCCGTCTCTCACTTTCCAACAGAAAAATAATTGGCCCCCTTGTCACTCGTCACGGCAAGCTGTGGTCCAACTTCTGGGGAGCCTTGAGTCTGGATGGGTATTACGCCCGATCTGAAGATTATGTTGACATTGTGCAGAGAAAACGCGTGTAAGTCACAAGAGCAATAAGGGTAAACAAAGTTATGGCTTTGCATTTCATGGTTCACAAAGCAAATGTGGGTACTGGATCTCTGAGCATGTCCGTAACTATGAATAAATCTTGCACCGTTGTGCTGGAACTATTTTCCTTCATGTTTAGCCACAAAAAATAAGACCTGCTAACTTAGAAGGCCTATGTGAAGAGTCAGAAAAGTGATTTGATGAGAAAAACACTAAGTTAAACTTTTATTTCTGACTGACTTTGCTTAAAAGTAAGTTAGATTTGCTCTAAGATTGCACGGAAACACTTATTCACCCACAACAGTTGGAACTCAGATTGACAGCATGCAGAAAATAAATGGTTGTTATGTAAGTTTCAAAAGATTCTAAATGAATATGCTGAGCTTTTTTTCTTTTCTACCACACAGTTTACTACTGCACACTGTAAGAATGCATTCTTACATACATACATACTGGATTAATACAAAATAAGCACTTCCCGTCTTTATGTCTTGTTGTTTCTAGGGGTGTGTGGAACATTCCTTACATGGCACATGTATACCTTGTCAAGGGCAGTGCCTTAAGGAATGAACTGAAAGAAAGGAACTACTTTGTTCTGGAAAAACTGGACCCAGATATGGCTTTATGTAGAAATGCCAGAGAAATGGTAAGAAGGAACAACCGCCATCTTTAAGGATTCCTCTATTAGCACTACTGTTCGTAAAATATTAAGATTAATTTAGCAATAAGAATGTATAAGGTCATACTAACTTTAGGTATATTTATAATAGTTAGTTTGGTTAAGCAATGAATTTGCTACTAACAAAAGTCAACAGCTCAACGGAAACCAAAGACTGGCAAGTATCAGTGTTTGTATGTATGAGTATGTATGAGTGTCTTCGTCAGCAAGGCGTGACCGTCCTGTGTTTACAGTGTCTCTTTGGTCGTGCGAGGTTCTCTGCTACACTTGTATCCCATCATCCTTTACTTTCTTTTAACCTTACGTCTTGAGCACAGTCAGTACAACCGATGCCTGGCTGGCTACCACACAGAAAGGGTCTTGTCTCTTGTGGGGTTTTTTTCCTTTTCACTTGTGAACTTGTTACCTAGTCTTGCTTTGCGTCACTTGGACTTGGCAGCTGCGGTGTCAGATTCAAACACAGTGTATGTTGTCTGGTTTGCTTGGCCTGCTCCCCCAGCATGCATTGCTCCCACGTTAACCTACAAAAACATCAGCTTCAGAGGGAATCTTGCTTCTTTTTCATGCAGGCGTGTTTCCTCTCCTCCTGAATTCCTATGTATGTGACATATGTACTTCCTCTGTCACCCTGTTTTTATTTTGAATTCACTAATGTCACCTTATTTACATGATGCTTCTCCTTTATTTTAGACCAGTCACAGAGAAAAAGACTCCCCTTCTCCGGAATCATTCCATATGCTCAGGCCCCCAAAGGTTTCCATTTGTTTTGACTACTCTGCTTTCTGAAACATCCATTTCCAATGGGTTAGCACTCAGAAACCAATCTAAGCCATGTAGCATGCATAGTTTTAGGTACAGAAATAAATTTTCCCTTATACTGAATTTAGTATTGGAGGTTTTGTTTTTTGAAAATGCGCAGTTACAAATTCTTAATAAATTCGTACTGAGTTGCCTACTTGACTGGCAACTTTTCAAAAATTGATGTTGACTTTTTGCTTGTGATAACTTTAGGTCTAAAAGTAAAATGATCTCAGTCAGACAGAACAAGACTCATAATCTTTTATGTGTTTATGATTGCTTCTAAGAGGAGATCATGGAGGAGACAAAAAAGTTCACACAGTGAGCAGTTCCCCTGTCCTGATGCTTTACCCTAAACAACCAAACCCTACATCATACACACATTACCAGCTGCTCTTTCTAAACACACTGACTAATCTCAGACTAGGCTCAAACTATTTTTTCCCACAGTCATGCTAAACATCTGGTGCAAATCACAGTTTTTCACAGAATGCATTTGTACATTAGCAATTTGGAATGTTGTGCAAAGAGATTGCAAAACTATCCTTAATTTTTCATTCATCTTCATCAAGCACAAAGCCTAGTCTGATAGTAAGTCCAAACCACTCCTACACATCTCCCTCCCCATGCTTCACTTTAGAGGGAATATAATTCCTGGATTTGCTTTGTCCCGACCTCCCCAGCACCCCTCTGTTCCTGTTCTCCCACTCCTCTCCTGCCCCATGTTATCCAGTTCCCAACCCTCTAGGACCCTCCCCCAACACCCATAAATAATCTAAGATTATTTATATGACATCTGTGTCTGTTTGAACATAGAGTTCAGTAATGATTTCAGTGTGTTTAAGCACACTTAAATCCGACTATATTCTCAGTTTTGTGCAAATGAAGCTTTTAGTAGTTTGCCACAAGTATCAGCTTGTCAGTTTTATTGCCAGTGATAACTACTCATGAGTATTCATGTGTTCTAATACTGCATGCATGATGATTATGTAGACAAGTAAATCTTGCTTGTGGAACATCAGAAATCTTTTGCTTCTCGAACTTTTATGAAACTTACTCAACTTTCTCCTGCTTGCTGCAGGGAGTCTTCATGTACATAACCAACCGTCACGAATTTGGGAGGCTCATTTCCACAGCCAATTATAACATTTCTCATTACAACAATGACTTGTGGCAGATATTTGAAAACCCTGTGGTAAGTCATTATGATCTCTCATTATCCTTCAACCACAAAAAAGCTTTTTTTTCTGAATAGCTGAGATAAACAACAGCCACCTGTAAAGGTTATTAACAATAATGGAACGATTACAAATGTGAGACAATTTTGGAATAATGACTTTGGTGTGATAAGGCTCCTGGCTGATGATTTACTACTGTATTTGACAAGCTGGGATCTGCCCTGTGGGAGATGAGATTAGCTCTGTGAGGTATGCAGGTCAGAAAACAGTTCAAAAAATGGGCACTAATTTGAAGTACTTTCTGCTTGCAGGACTGGAAAGAGAAATATATCCACTCAAACTACACTCGAATTTTCACTGACAACTACTTGGAGCAGGTTTGTATATATACATGTGTATCTGTATGTCTTCAACATACTGATACAGACCGAGGGGGGAAATGGGATGACATAATGTCGCAGCAAAAAAAATCCCAACATCTGGTTTTACCATATCTGGGTATTACATTACAGTTACTAGAGCTCAACATGAAGGTGCTATTCAAGTCTATTCTCAGTGGCCTCTTTTTGTGTGTCAATGTGTGTGTGCGTGTTTTATAGCCATGTCCAGATGTGTTCTGGTTCGCAGTCTTTTCAGAGAAGGCTTGTGATGAACTAGTCGAGGAGATGGAGCATTACGGTTCATGGTCTGGAGGCAAACACCAGGTGTGTATTGTTAGCTCAGTTTCACTGAACATAAAGTGCTAAGTGTAATCGTCACACTACAGTCACAGTGCTCTTCTTATTCTTTCTGTGTTTTATGTTTACACATTTTAATAAGGTGATAAGCATAATAAAATATCAGTGGTACTGGATTCAGTTTAGAAGTATGAGCCAAAAAGCAAAGGTTATTTATTAGAGAGGCCAGGCACTGAGATGCAACCACTGACCTCTTCACCACAGGGACAAAAAATACATTAAATGTATCCAAAAGTATAGAACGTAAAAATTCAGCACTATGATAAGAAAGAAGATGGCAAAGATTAAGGCTACGTTCACACTGCAGGCGAAAGCGCATCAAATCTGACTTTTTTTGACCCTATGCGACCCATATCCGATCATGGTATGACAGTGTGAACAGCACAAATCCGATATTTTCAAATCCAACCTGGGTCACTTTCGAATGTGGTACTGAATCCGATACATATCTGATGTTTTAGAAAGCGACTGCTGTTTGAACGGTCATGTCGCATTAAATCCGTCTTTTACGTCACTGACACAAGACAGACGCCAATTATCAGCCCCCGAGAAGACATCGTGAACGCTTCCTGGCCATCCAGTGTAGATGTTAGTGAAACTGTTAGGAAGACAACGTTGGAGAAATGTGAACATTTTATTTGTACTGTATAATCTGTAGATTCTGACAGAAATCTGCAACTATCCTTTGAAGCACCGCTCCTCTTTAAAACAGCAATAAGGATAATTATTAGGCCAAATGTAAATAACAAAATAAATTTATAACTTAAAGCAAAATTGGGAAACGTAAAGTCCGAAGTCTTTATATTAAGGGCCATCAGTCAAACAATATTGTTTGGTCTGCATCTAAACAGAGCGCGTTGTGTGTGATGTCTTCTTTTGCGCATGCGGGCCGCTTTGACCGTTCACACTAGAGCGCGTTTGCTGTTGCATTTTATTTGTAGTGTGAACAAGCAGACAAAAAAATCAGATTTGATCAAAAAATCGGAATTGAGCATCAAGACCTGCAGTGTGAACGTAGCTTAAGTTAATTTAGTTAGCATAACAGATGTGCTGGGAAAACTGAAATGTACTTATAGTTTGATATGTCTGCTTTATCTTGCTTAACATCTTAAAGTTTTTTAGGGCTAAATGCAACCAGTGTACTTTAAATTCATCAACTGATGGTTTCATTTATGTTATATAATGACAAATACCCATTGTGTGTTGCCAGAAACAAGAAGACACTCTTCCTATCATTATGGCTGGTTATGTGCAGCACCAGCTTTAGCTCACAACAATCGTGTGAGGGCATGCTACCATTTGCTAACACCACTAGCATGACTAAAAGGTTTATTGATTTTTTTTAAAAATTATACAGTAGAAATTTAGATTTTTGAAATTACCCCAAAAGTTTACATAAATTAACTGAGTTAACTATTGCTGATACTTCTAAGCACTCTTTCACTGTTTGTGGGTTAAATGGCATCCAGATGTAACAAGTATCAGACTATTCTTGGTTAGCTTGCTAGCTTTTAAATGTCAAAGTTATGTTTTGGTACGACACAGAAAGTTACACACATGCAATTATGATTAATGCATATAGTAAAAAATGATTTTAGTGCTGTCATCACAAGGTTGGCCATTTGAATACAACCAAAAAACCCCAGCTGTGTTTTAGTTTAATGGTGTCTAATTCCCAGTGTCTCAAAGTTGGCCAGGGAGATTAATATATTACAAATACTTTGACTCTGTTTGAGAGACGACTGAGCTGGATGGGTCATTAAGTCTCATACAGGCAGACAACAGAACAGCCTGTGGTTTAAAAAAAAATAACACATGCACATCATCACAATCACCATCACTTTGAAAACTGTGGACACACACTTTGAGGATAGTGGGTCATTTGTTCCGTCGTTAGTCACACTGCATCGTGCTCTGTTTCTCTCCTTTTCTCAGGACAAGCGGATTGCTGGAGGCTATGAGACTGTGCCGACAGATGACATTCACATGAAGCAAATTGGGTTTGAGAAAGAGTGGCTGCATTTCATCCGAGAGTTCATATCACCTGTCACGTTAAAAGTTTTCTCTGGCTATTACACAAAGGTTTGTGTGAATCTGACCTTTTTCTAGTAAAAGCTGAGTTATAACAGCAGAAAAGTTTAATCATATAATGAGCTGCTGACCTGCTATTCATGTTTATGTTTGGGATTCTGATGTGAATCTTAACAACTGATGACAAATTTTCCATTGGATGACAAATTGGTAGAATTTCCCATTACCACTCGTTAATATTGTGGTAATAATGGTAATAATGGGGTAGTAAGGTGGAAAGAAAAAGGTGCCAATATGGAAAATTTAAGTTATTACCCCTTAGTAATATCTAAGTAACAACCAACTAATCTCGTGTGTCAACAGTGTTTATAATAATTTAATGTGACACTGAAATTTAAGTCATTTGGTAATAAGTACCCAGAAACTAGGGAAAACTATGATACCGTTTTAGGGCCGCTGAAGATCAGAAAAACAATAAGGTGCATTTATTTATGAGGAAAAAAAGGCAAATCTTCAAGATTAAAGTGGCAAATTTCTGAGACGATTCCCTGTCCCTCATTTTTTCACCAATCTTCAGTGGCCCTAAAAACTGTAGTAGGAAACATACACGTGCCTTTGTATGTATGTCTAGTAGGAATACTATAATATTATACTGGAAACACTATCAGAACTTGCTAGCAATAAAATTGACATCCATGCATTTTAAATTTTTGTGTACAGATTTGATAGTAACCTTATAATAATAAAGTAATACTGGTGGACAGGTTCGCATATTAGAATAGTATTACCATATTGTAATGGAAACATATTGTAAGCATAATTCTTTATTTGAAGGTAACATCAGTACTGTCAGCCAATGCATTTCTATCCTTTTGTCACAGGGTTATGCTTTGATGAACTTTGTTGTAAAATACACTCCTGAGAGACAAGCCTACCTGAGGCCCCACCATGACTCCTCTACCTTCACCATTAACATTGCTCTCAATAACAAAGGCATAGACTTTCAGGTAAGGACTTGTATTATGGGGCATAAGTCACACTAATATTATAGCTGTTATATATTTTTTTTAAATGTAGATTTTATTTTAAGCTTTCCAATTAGATAATCTGTCTGATGAGTATTGTTAACCCAGTGATTTATTTCACAATTATAAATCCAATGTACTTTTTTAGGGAGGGGGTTGCCGTTTCCATCGGTATAACTGTAGCATAGAATCACCGAGGAAAGGCTGGAGCTTCATGCACCCGGGACGACTGACTCACCTGCATGAAGGCCTACCCACAACCGGCGGCACCCGCTATATTGCAGTGTCCTTTATTGATCCTTGAACTACCTGACGGCCTTATGATGTCAAGTCTTTCAACCACGCTTCGCTTTTTTTCATCCAATTTTTTTTTTGTTTGGTTGTATGATTTGAAGTTTTGTGCACAAGCTGTTCTTCTGATGCGATTCTTTTTTTAAAGCAGATGCTTTAAAATCTTGAAAAAGTTGCATTCAAATAACCTCTGTCAGACAGAGAATAGAGAGGCCAGGGAAGTAACAAAGGCAATTAACAGTTTTGATACACAGATTGAAACAAAAACCAAGCTAGCAGGGTAAGGATTTCTGTCACATTACTGCTTCATTTTTTGATTCAAAACAAAAATCTTTCAGGAAATCGTCTATGCTGTAGATTGTCATGATTTTCATTGCTCTGTCATGGTAACCATCATTCATCCACCCTGGTTGATTTGCTAGCAATTAGCTCTACTGTGTGAGGTTGCGCAGATGACCATTGTGTATAAAATTGTGTTTCAGGTAAAATGTGACTGAACTTGCGTATTGCTTCAAAAGTTACTACTGGTGCTAATAATCATGTTTCTGCAGTGTAAGTTATATTGTTTTCTACCCTGAGTCAGTCAAGGTTTTATTTGTGATTTTTTAATTACATTTCCATTTGGTTTGTGCCCCATTAAAAGAACTTGTGCACTGTAATTTTGCAGAGCAAAGAGAGCAGAATTCATTAAGAATTCAAGCTAAATGAAGATCGATGTGTCATTTTTACTTGAAAGGTTTTCCTTCTTTCTGTACTGAATATTGGCAACACTGATTTGCTTTACTGAAAATATTTCTGCAAAATGTTCTTCCTTTTTTCTGACAGATATGAGTGACTTTATTTTGAAACTCAGCAAACTATTTTTTAACTTATTGTCTAATTCAATTAAAAAAACCCTGAATACTGAAAAATTAATGTTTTCACATTTACTCTAATTTTGCATTTAATATACTAAAGTATGCTGCCTCATGAGCCTCACGAGACCCTGAAAGGAGACACAAACCCAGCTTCAGGAGGTCATAAGTGTGCGTAAATGTGATGGTTGCATCTGGCATACCATGTGAATCCATCCACTTTGATGACCTCGTGGGAAATAATGGAGCAGCTGAAAGCACATTCTTTCATTTAAAGCACTCGCTGTCCAGAGAGCAAACCAAAAAGTCTCCTCGTAGATTGTAGAAAGTCTGGATGTAGTTACCACTGCATACAAGCTTTCATTGTCTTATCGCTTTATCAGTTCAAGTCTGGACGCATCACATGTTAAACCCATCATGGTTGGTTTGGACTGAAGTACTCCTCTGCACAGGGAGTAGCCCCGAAGTGTTTGGGCGCGGTGTGATGATGTATATCAGTGCAAATGTGGTTCAGTTTACCTTAGGGGCTAAGTGTAAACATGTACATGCAACTTCATGGAAGTGGTACAGATGGTGCTTAGAAGACTGATGACAGAACAGAGAGGGGAGGTGTTAAAAGCACAGCTTACAGAGGAAAAAAAACATCCAGTGAAAACTATGATTTTTACCCCTTACATGACTATATGTTTACCATCTAGAAACTTAATAAAATATCCACCTTAGATTGAGCCCTAGATTTTATCCAAGTTCTCACCTTCTTATCAAATCCCATTTCTTTTTATTGCCGACAGCCTCTGGAGCTTTACTTCCCCCTTGAGGGCCGTGTATTTACCTGACCAGATGTGCATTTTTGCTCCCCGTAAAGCCGAATGAGGGCTGAATTTCTGAGTAGCTGCTATGAAGCAGTAAAGACGCGGGGAGCGGAGAAGGAGGAGATTTAGGTCAGACTAGGAAAGGCTCTCAGCTGCTGAAAGAGCCCTTTGTAGTCATCATTTCCCTTGAACTGCGCAGTGTCCAGACCCTGTGAAAGGTGACATTAATTACAACCAGGCATGCAGGAAAAACCTAGGAGATTCTCACAGCAATGCCTTTATCAAAAGGAAGAAATGGTGACACATATCCGAACCTTGATTTATTCGAAAGTCGCAAGTAGGATACAGTATACTCAGTGTTTTGGAGGCAAAGGCGGGTCGTTCAAGGTCATTTCCTTCTTTTATTAATAAAATCAACTCTAGAGTCTGTGTTTTTACAGTTGTACATGGTTGTACGCACCATGTTTAACCCGATGAATACCCATACTTAGGGTAAATGGTTTTTGAGATGGGAATTTAGTTTTTATACCAAAGTCAATTCAAGCGCACCACTAACTGCAGGGTGCCCAGTGGCAAATAGTGATTTAGACATTACCCCAGCAAGCACTCTGGTCTTGACCAAACAAAGGATTTAAATTAAGTGTTTACAACATTGTAGGATTTTAAGTGCCTGGGGTCAGTCTATGTGTGGTCATATCTGTAGCTGATGGTTTAGAGGCAATCTTGCACCACGGGGATAATAAGAAGTTTCCAGCATATTTTGTCTGCCTTTAATGCACTATTTACCTGTTAGTGCAGTCACTCATTTACTGCCTGGGGTAATGAATCAAAACATTAAAGCGTACGAGCCTTGTGACCTGGCATGTGCCACAAGGCAGAAAATCTATTAAGGGGCAAAATAACTATTCCTAACTGTCCAAGTTCAACAAGATACATCCTCTCATACTTCTGTTTATGCTGTTGAGCCACCAAATCTAACTCTCTTGAAAAAAGGCTACAGTAAGTCACAGATATACAGTTTCAGTTCTTCTTAGTTTAATTTCCCCACTTTTTTCCCTACATTTTTCTTCCCAGTTAATTTCCTCGTGCACCTTAGCACTGCTTGTTTTTACTAGAGTTAAGTTCCAGCTGTAGATTAATAAACCTTTGGTGCGCTATACTATGAACTTTTGGCACCAAGCCAGCCTATCCAGAGCCCACGTAAAACACTGTACGTAAAAGTGCTTGTGTCAATCAGAGTAAAACAGCATGTTATCCAGTGCAACACACTCACTTATGATTGTGGGTGTTGAATCATTTTTGGACAATGAGAGAGGAGGCGTTTGGAATGAAACCAGGAGTATTTCCATGGAATTTGTTTCCAGTGAAAATATACAAGTTATCATTAGCCATATGCTTTAGGTAATTCATCATCCTCTTGACAGAATAGTTTTGTAAGACATGGTTTGTGTGGATCCGGGAAATCCATGCAAAATCAGTGATCATCCCTGAGGAATATACCACCTCTGCAGGATACAGTGCAACATTTTCATCCAAACACATCATGGCAAAAAGGCCAACTGCATGAGTGTGTGTGTGTGTGTGTGAGAGAGAGAGATACAATGTAGTGCATGGTTGTTTCATTGTAAATTTCTCAAATTACATTTATAGAAGAGGGCGGAGGGGTCGTTGGGGAGTTGTATGATTAGTGTGGTTTGGGGCCAGGGAGAAGGTTCAGGCGCAGTGCAATTGTGAGTGAGGCATCAGTGGAAAAGTACTGTGATGGAACACAGATACAGCAGGAAACATTTGATGCCACTGAGTCGGCATTTTGTGCATTAATGGATGCGTGAAAATACGTTTGTGTCCATTATTTTCAATTGTGCACAGTTCAAAAGATGTTAAATGAATTTAATCTCACGTTTCACATAAATGGGACTTCGGGGACCAGAAGTCTTTTAGGAACTGTGTGAGCAGAACAGACACAGCTAATAAAGGCATGCTTAAAAGCTTGGAAATGTGACCTTGTCTGTATCATTTGTTAACAAGCAGTCTAGGATCTCCACTATGGAGCAACATCTTCAGCAGTGGAGACACAGAAGTATGCAGGCCTGCTGCTACTTGTTTGGTAAAGGTACCTGTTATAGAAAGAACCAAAAACTCGATCATCATCGTCACTTTTACATTTGCATCATTGGAGCGCAAAGAAGAAGAAAATTACTTTTACATATTGATTAAAACCTGGTTTGTGCCAGCTGAAGAGTGGAAGTATTTACTGCTAATTCTTTTTTAACCATTTAAAAACTCCTGTTTGAGGCAAGAGCAGCAGCTCTAACACATTGTAAAACCTTTATTGGGTTGTATAAAAAGAGCTCGAGACTCTGAGTCTGCAAATCCCTGTTAATATGTTTTGTTTGCAGTCTCACATGTGAGACTAACATCTATAATATATATGAAACAAACAGAAAAACAAAAAGATTCATGCCACATGTTAGGTAAGACAAGATGATCCGTATTGAACATGATCCATAATGTTGGTTGTAACCAAAATAGTACTTATTATTACGGCCTATCATCATGCCTAACTCCCAGGTAAGTAATGAAATACATTGAGTCCACAATACCAATTATGTTGATTGTATGCTTCTAGGGGAATCAACACCCTCACTTTTTACCAGCCAGACTGTTTACCATCTCAAAGTAAACTGGGTGCAAGTACCATTTAACAAAATTACACAGCAACGCTCTGTAAAAACAATCAGCAGCCCCACACTCTCAGCAGATATTGATTTATGGAAAAGACAAATGTGGAATGGAAGATGGGTGGAGGATGGGGAGTTTTCTAAAGCCACAGAAGCTCTGTTTATAGAAAGCAAACAGCAGTCACACAACATGTCCTTTATGAGCTATTTTGGAGTCCTTTGAATGATCTTTTAGTGTATTTAAACCTGTATTTTGCCATTTGAAGTGCAGACAGAAGACTAGTGTTGTGCAGTGGGGCATTCTGGTGTCAGGGTGTGTGCGCCCAAGTCTACGTGGTGGCTACGTGTCTAGGTCAATGTGGTTGCATAAAAGGAGCAACGAGAGCCTGGCATTTAGAGCCCCCCTGTGGGTACAGACTGTTTATGCCACTTCTAAAGTGGATGTCAGAGATTTTTCATTGTAAAGACAGACGGTAAGACAAAAAAAGAAGATAAAAACAAGTTCATTCTTAAATGTAAGAAAACTCAGCCTTTGTTTTAAATGTAAATACAAATCCAAGAAATCAATCAGTCCAGCCAAGAATATATATTGACTGCGATTTGGCTGTTATGCTAAATTAAATATATTTTGATTCTTGATGGTATGAAGAAATTAAATTGATTACTTTTTCTTACTTGTGTAAATGCACATTTTTTCTATATTGTCTGCTCACAGGAAGCTGTAAATCTAAGCACATTCAAAGTATTATCTAGGGCAATGTTCACGCATTACAAATTAAATATAATCTACTTTTTTTTTAATGCTGGCAAGCAAAGAGAACAAATCAAATACCCTGATCGTTCTTTTAGACAGGCAGTGAAATTGCCTGAATACCAGCTGACGCCACTTGCTGCCGTGTTTGTTGATGACTGTCGACAAACGTCAAACAGTCAATTTCCCTGCTACTTTCATCAGCTAGTTTGTAATTCTCGGCACAGTACTGGAGATGACCACCCACGCTCAGTATGTCCATAATGATTCACGAGATAGGAGCTGGTGAGAGTGGGCCGTAATGAAACTAAGGCCTAAATATATGAATCTTTGATGGGTCTAATTTTGACTCTGTGATGATAGGAAGCATTTGAAATAGGCTTTGAATCATAAATGGAAATCTAACAAAGATTTCAGCATAAAGTAAGGCAACACTAATAATAGCATTGCTTCAGAATGTAACAAGAATTACACTTATTGCATGTAAATCTATATTATGTTGGACTTTTGCATCTCAGAGACTTAAAATGGTTGATGCCCCACTAAAAAAGTTTTCTTTTGGACTGGCAGTCTGGCAAGAATATGGATATTGTTATACCTTATGTACAGACAAACAGGCCCCTCTAAAATAAGAGGGCTTGGGACTGCAGAAACCAAGTCTGGATAATAATAACAGACACTAGCCTTTCATGGTAACGTTTCTGAAAAGTCTTTGAGGTGACTGGTTAACTACCTAAAATCAGTAACCATCAGTATAGTTCACTAATAGTGTCATGTCAGTTTTAAAAGTAAGAAAAATCCCTCCCAAAAATCAAGGTTCTTTCTTAAAACCATCAAAGATAAGCAGAGAATAACGGGATTTCAACCACACACTGACAGAGCAACAGCCTATCTGAAGTTGTGATGAAAAGCAGTGAGTGAAGTGTCTCATTCATGCAAATGTGCCATAAAGTATCAAATGTATTATTATCCAAAAGCACAAGACAAATGGTGAAACATAACTGTGTACTAGGTGTTATATAATTGTACAATCACAAGGGAGACTTTAATTGTACAATTTATTATTTAATTGTACGATTATGACATCTGACAGCAATTCTAAATTTCCTGTAAGTGTTTAGCTTAGCTTTGGTCATTGTCCCATTGGCAGGTTCTAGACTCAGGAATAGCCTTCCTCTTTATATTAGATCTGCACAAACATTCGAACATTTTAAATCGTTACTAAAGACACATTTTTATGGCCTGGCTTTTAACACACTTTGATGTAAACATTTTGGGTTTTAACAGCCTTAGTTGTTGTTGTTGTTTTAGTTGTTTTTATTGACTTATTTGTTTTCCTACATTTTACTGTATTATTGTTTTGTATTAGATTTATTTTAGTGGCATTTTATATTTTTAAGCACTTTGTGCAGCATGGACTGTTTGGAGATGTGATGAATAAGCTCCAGCTTCAGGTGACCCTGAATTGGCATGGATGGATGGATGGGTGGATGGGTGGATGGATGGATGTTCAAATTTAAACTTAGATCAGTTTTTATGGTTGCTTCTGCCTCCACATGCCAACATTTTGTTAAATAAAATGCTGACATTGAGGCTCCACAAATAAATGAGTGACATCACAGTGGCAACATTAAAGTTTTATATGCAGACTTTTGCTACAACAGATGCGATTCTGCATTTTCCATCCACTATCTCTTACTTCAAGACCATAAAAATGATGTCTCTATTGCCAAACCTCAGCAATCTTTGAATGAAAGATTCTGCCCTCGCTTGTAACAAAGTCCCACCAAGCTAAAATCTGTGTGCCCAACTGAAAATCTATATTTGTAACATTTAAAATTGTACTTGGGTATTACTAATTGCTTCAGAAAAGGTTATATGCAATAGAAATGATTGATATTGCAGCTTTCCCATAGTTTCTCTTGTCTTGATTCCATAGAAAGCTTTCCCCAGTAGCTGTCTGTCTGTTGGTATGATATAATTGCATGTTTCCAGTTGTGTGGCTCTTGTTAGATTTGTAGTTAGCACTTCTTTATATCCTACCAGATACTAAAGACGAAGAATCCCTCAGCACGGGTGTGTTTGTTTTGAGCCATCCATATGAACCTAATGCCCTCTGAGGAGCCGGAGGCAGCAGCGACAGGCTGGCAATCTGGTGACCACAGCACATCAAGACAAAACTAGTGGTGATCCACCCTGATCCTTCTAATTGGGTCTTTGGCTCCCACTTAAAAGACCAACCACAAGCAAAGGGGTGTTTTTTCCCCTTGGATACCTCTGTTGTATGTACAAAGGGAATCTTCCACACTGGACATTGTGGTCTGCAGCTCTGTGCTGTGGTATTCTGCCTTCATCTGGGCACTCTGCCCTAACCATCTTTTCGTACTGACTTTCACAAGTTTCTGTGAAAGGAGAATTTAATATCTAGGTCAAGTTTAACTAACTGTGCAAAACTTTAATATTTCATGAGGCAGACTTGACTAAAAATGCATATACCATGCATTTAAAATGCTGCATACAACTGGGACAGGTTCTGAAACAATTGGATATACTGCAAAAGATAAATGTTTTCTGCATAAACGGAGCTGGAAAGACAATAATGTGGATTCAGATCCCCAACACCCAAAACACAGAAGGCTAAAGATGCTACAGTAAAGCTGGAAGACTATTACCAAAGTCGTTAGGAGTTCACTTTTTAGAAACAAACTCCATATTGAGTCATGCCATAGTTATTGAAATATTCCGGTCATCCATTTAACCATCAAACTTGCAAGGATCTCTCCAGTGATGTAATGATGCATTGCACATGCCTCTATCAACAGTATCTTAAATAAAATATTGCTCGATATAACAACTTAATTAAATCTTTTGGAAAGAATGAATGAAACTGACAAGCTACTCAAAGCCCAGTGGCAGGTACTTTTTTCACAACACTTGCGGTAGCAAAAAATTGCATTGCTGTTATATCTGTCAGGTGCTGCTCTGCATAATATTAGGGTTGGCTTAATAGAATTACAGAGTAGACCTGAACTTAGCTGTGGGTCCTCTGTGTGAGATGGCAGAGTAAATTTAGCCTCAGAAGGTAAGGATTTGATTGAGAAACATGTGCAAAGCACAATGCCAAAGTCAAGTGGTGGTCATTATAGAGCACACTCGGGAACCC